CCCGCTCCCTCAGCGCTGACCCTCCGACAGTCCCCGCTCCCTCAGCGCTGACCCTCCGACAGTCCCCGCTCCCTCAGCGCTGACCCTCCGACAGCACCCTCTCCCTCCGACAGCACCCACTCCCTCAGTGCTGACCCTCCTGCCCCATCCCGCCTCACTCACATCCACGAGGTAATCGAAGAGCCGGGCGTACAGGGCCTTGGAGAGGGCATCGCGGGTGAAGTTGGCCTGTTCCACGTTGAGGGTCACGTCGATGGTCTCAGAGCGGCCTCCCCACTTACTGTCCATCGTCCGGCTGGTCAGCTTCTCCTTCAGCCAGCCTTGCTCAATGCCCAGCAGGTAGGCTGGGAAGGCAAGGACTGTGAGGGGAGGGGGAGAGTGAGCAGGTTGTGTTACTGTGGACTCCCTCTGTTCCCGAGTAACACACTGATAGAGTCACACGTTTTCAAATATCCTCCGACCCTCACCATGTTCTCTCTCACTCAATTAGGCCCCTCTCTGCAGCCCCATGCTCTAGGCCTCTCCCTCCACCCCTAGGCCTCTCTGTCCACCCCGAGGCCTCTCCCTCCACCACCAGGCCTTTCCACCCACCCCTAGGCCTCTCCGTCCGGTCCCAGGCCTCTCTGTCCACTCCTAGGCCTCTCCATCCACCCCTAGGCCTGTCCACCCATCCCTAGGCCTTTCTGTCCGGCCCCAGGCCTCTCCATCCACTCCTAGGCCTCTCCGCCCACCCCTAGGCCTCTCCGTCCCTCCCTGTGCCCGAGGCCCTAGGCCTCTCCATCCACCCCTCGGCCTCTCCGTCCACCCCCAGGCCTTTGACCTCTCTCTACAGCCCCGTGCCCTAGGCCCTTCTGTCCAGCTGTAGGCCCTAGGCCTCTGTCTGTAACCGGAAGCCACTCACAGTCCTCGCTCTCCACCACGGCGTAGTTGCCCTGCTCACGGAAGGCGATGTTTCCAAGGTGAAGGATCCCGGCCACAATCTGCAGGACACTGGACTGATCCTCCAGGGAAAGGCCAATGACTGCCATTGCGTTCTAGATGGAGAGAGAGAGAGGGGGGCAGGGGGTGGTGTGGGGGTTGGGGAGGGAGGGTGTCAGTGATCCCGGTCAGGGCATGGGGAGAGGGAGTGGGGGACTGGTGTTACAAAGAAGATGCACTTTGCAAACTCCGTTCAGAGGAGAGAGAGGGAGGGGATAGGCTCAAGCTGATGGGCCGAATAGGCCGAGGCGCGATGCCAACATTTGGGACATTCCCTCCCACAACCCCCACATCCCCGGAAAACCATCTGCCACCAAAGCCCCACTGCATCCCGGCTCCCACTCTGCTGGTCAACTGGGACCAGCTGCACAGCAAGATCCCAGAGACAGCAACCTCGGCCGGTCAGTGCTGAGAGAGGAGGGGGCTTCATGGCCTCCTGTTTCTGTGTAACAGGCTTGAGGAGGGGAGAGCTGAATGGCCTCCTGTTCCTGTGTCCCGTTCCAGTACAGGTCTGTTAAACTCACCATGGTTTCAGTAAACTCCAACTTGTCGTTAACACCATCGACTTTGTAAGTCGCAGACTGGTTAAGGTAGTAATAATAATCCGGGCTAGTTACTCCCAGGTTCTCCCTCTCCTCCTCACTTACTCCTTCCAGGATCTAAAGGGGGCAATGGGGTGGAGGGAGATGTCAAACAGAGATCAGACATTACTGGGAACCAACCACGTGGGCCTAACCCTAACCCTTAACCCCACCTTAACCCTAACCCCAACCCTTAACCCCAATTTCATCTTAACCCTAACCCTTAACCCCAACTTTAACCCCAACCCTAACCCTAAACCCCAACTTAACCTTAACCCTAAACCCCCAATTTAACCCTAACCCAACTTCATCTTAACCCTAACCCTTAACTCCAACTTTAACCCCAACCCTAAACCTAAACCCCAACTTAACCCTAAACCTAACCCTAAACCCCCAATTTAACCCTAACCCTTAACACCAACTTAACCCTAAACCCCCAATTTAACCCTAACCTTAACCCTTAACCCCAAGTTAACTCTAACCCTAACCCTTAACCCCAACTTAACCCCAACCCTAACCTTTAACCCCAATTTTAACCCCAACCCTAACTCTTAACCCCAACTTTAACCCTAACCCTAACCCTTAACCTTTAACACTAACCCTAACCCTTAACCCTTACCTTAACCCTAACCCTAACCCTAAACCTAACCCAAACCCTAACCCTAGCCCTAACCCTAACCTTAAAACCTAACCCGACCCCTAACCTTACCCCGAGCCCTAACCCTAACCCTGCCCCTAACCTTACCCCTAGCCCTAACCCTAACCCTAACCCTAGCCCTAGCCCTAACCCTACCCTTAAACTCTAACCCTAGCCCTAACCCTACCCCTAACCTTACCCCTAGCCCTAACCCTAACCCTAACCCTGGCCCTAAACCTAACCCAAACCCTTACCTTAACCCCGAGCCCTAACCCTAACCCT